ACCAGGAGGGTACTGTGAACTATTTTTACTGCGTGTGTGTGTGTGGTTGCAACCACATTTGTCCTTCATTTTCTGCTGCTTTGCTATGGCATGTTATCATTTAGTTGCATGCATTTCTTCTACCCTTCAGCCACTTTTTTGCAATTTTGCACTATTTTATGCTGCGCACTCAACCAGATTTCGAGTTGTACATATTTCTTTTTATTTTTATTATTTATTTCTTTAATATTCTTACAAGAAATCATGTTTATAATGCATTCTCTGTGTGTGTGTACAAAAAATTAGCTGCTGCATGGGTGGATATGTGTATACATATGTGTGTATGTAGATAAATTTTGGGTGTTGCACCATAAAATATGCGTGCTATTTTTGTGGGAAATCATATATGTTTCACATATGTAGGCCTTACACTGTACGAAATAACGAAAAAAATATTCTTGAAAAGCAAAGATTGCTCATTTTCGCCAATCTACTACAAAATAGCTGGACGCGCGGATGATTTGGAAAGTGGAACAATAATCGCTTTTACCTTAGCTCTGGTTGGATTGTAGTGGCAGACCTTATCCAGATCCGCAGGCAAACAGGCGCCGGTTGTGATAGGGTTTTGCCTCGTAGTTGATTCCAATCAGTAGCGTAGCCGTGTTTTGACAAGTCAGCCCAACTAATGAAGAACTAATGAATAATGGCAAACGACTGAATACTGATTAAAATGACTTATGACTAATAAATAATGACTTATGATCAAGTATTGTCGACTAATGTCTATTGCCTATTGACTAACTTATAACTTAGAATTTTTTGAAGTGAAACCTCTTTAGCGGCGGCTGGTTGGTTGTGAGTAAGTTTGGTAAATTCAAATGAAATTGCACACGGAAATGGTGCAACGGAAATGGTGAAACAGAATTGGGGCTGAAACAAGTGCTTCTTGAGTGTATGCACATGGTATTAATTTAACAAAAACTTGCTAATAAAAGGTTAAAGAATAACACTTAGAAAAAGACCAATACAAGAATGAAGGTAAAGGTGAGTACGTACGCAGATAAAGAAAAGGATAAAGGCAAAGGTAACAATAAAAACAAAAACAAAGATGCGTAAAGATAAAGGCAAAAATGAAGACTAAGGTATATTTAAACACTTTACTTATATAAGGGCAAAGGTGAAGGGGAATGTGTAGATGAAGAAAATGATAAAACATAAAAGTAAAAACAAAGATAAATATAAAGAAAAAGATGATTTTGCTACCGAAATTTTCGGAAATTATCGATATAATAATCGATATTCTTATCGATTTTGTTATCGACATTTTTATCGATTTTGTAATCAATATATTTAAAGAATTTTTATCGATATTGTTATTGGTTTTGTTATCGATATTTTTATTGAATTTTTTATAGATATTATTATCGATTTTCTTATCGGTATTTTTATCGAGTTTGTTATCGATTAGTTATCGATTATTTATCGGTTTTGCTATCGAGGATTCATGGATTGTTTATCGTTTATTTATCGATTATTTTATCGATATTTTTATCGATTTTGTTGTAGATATTTTTTCTAATCGATTTTGTTATCGATATTTTCATCCATTTTGTTATCGATATTTATATCGATATTTTTTATCGATTTTCTAATCGATTTTGTTGCCATTATTTTTATCGATTTTGCTATCGCATTTATTGTCGAATTTGCCATCGATTTTGTTATCGATATTTTTTTCGGTTTTGTTATCGATATTTTTTTGGATTTTACTATCGGTTTTGTTTTTAGTGTGTGTTTTTTTTTAAATAATAAAATTAGTCATTTTAAGGAACAATAATAAAAAACACGTTCCGAGTGTAAATTTGTAACAATTTACAAAAACAACGAAAGTTCGAATTTTTCGAGTCATCAAAATTTTGAGTTTCTTAATTAGATTTCTCAGAAAAATTTTGAGTATGCGCTTTTGTAGTCCATTAAGTTTTAGTAAAAATTGCAAGTTTGAAGTAGCTAGGGCTTAGTGTGGATTTTTGGCAATTTTTTATTTCCAATAATATCGCAGTAGTGGCTAGTGGTGTCAAATTGAAACTATCGATACTATCGATAGTGCCATCGATAGTTTTGCACCTCTAGTTTGATGCATCCTCCGATGACTACATAGTTTTTTGTGGACTCTGCATAACCTAAAACCACACAGAGGTGGTAGTTGTTGATTACAATTGGCCACAGTGCCTACCCAAAATTTGTTGATCAAATAAATATTTTTGATGAGTATGCCGGTATCATTTCGGGGCTGTTTCGGGACCTGTTCAGCAGCATTTTGGTGCTAGTACACGACTATTTTAGGATCATTTTGGGAATAGTTCTAGGCTATTTCGAAAATAGTTCAGGACTATTTCAGGAATATTTCGCTACCAGTTTAGGTACATTTTGGGACTAGCTCAGGACTATTTACGGACTGATGCAGGACTGACTTTGCATATTTTTGGTTCTGGTTCGGGGTAATTTTGGGGCTAATAGGAGACGATCATCTCGGGACCATTTGAAGATTTGTTCGAGACCATTTCGGGATAAATTCACGCCTTTTTCGAGCGTTTCGGTGCCTGTTCAGGACTATTTTAAGACCGGGATCATTCCGGGACTTCTTCAGGACCATTTCGGGCCTAATTTTTGACCATTTCAGACTAGGTCATGACTATTTTGGTATTAGTTCAGGGTCTTTTCGAGACTGGTTCAGGCATTTTTCAGGTTTTCAGGTCAGGTCAGGACGGCTTCAGGACTAGTTTAGGAGAATTTTTGGACTAGGCTGAGTAATGGCAGAGCAAATATTCGTTAAAAGTGATAACAACAAAAAAAGCAGCCTAAATTAGGAAGGAGCTAAGGCATCTACTTATTAAACCTGGGACAATTTGGGACTTTTTCGGGATCATTTATGGCCTAGTTTAGGAGCATTTTTGGACTAGGCTGCAAATATTCATTAATAGTGATTACCCTAAACAGATCATTTAAAATATTTTTGTATCCATTGAGTTGAGCAACTCTGCGAGGATTTTATAGCGGTCTGACTATCTGAGATAAGTGAAAGCTTCCGCCCGCAGATCAAAATTTTGTATCAGTCAACCGTGCTTTCTTCAGGGCTTTAAGCTCTGCTTAGAAGACGCTACAGTAATCAGGTGAAAAGAAGCTTAATTTAGAGAAAGTGTAAATTGAATAAACTGCTCTTAGATTTAGCTTCGAGCTCTCGGTGTATAAAGAAGAGAAACTTATGTGCGTAGCTTTATTCCTTCTTTACCTTCGTGGCTCGAGGAAATCCGTGTATTGATTATTATCGAAGGTTATAATGATGACGGAATGGTAGTTTTCTTTTGACAGAACTTCATTATTTGATAAAAGAAAAGTTCTGACTAAAATCCTCCATGGGTCGATTTTTCTCGGGAAACATATTAAGAAATTGGTCTGTCTGTCTGTCTGTGTCAAATGATATGCCTTTTTTCAGCCAAGCGGTCCATATACACAATCCAAGAAAATCGAAAAAGATATGTATTTACATATACCAATGATAAAAATTTTCAGGAAAATATAATTTCTGGCAGTGTTTAGGAAACACGTACAAATGTTTCATTTAACAGAACTACGAGTATACCACAAAAATTTCTTTTGCATACAGAAGCACAAAAACAATCCCTTCAAGTGCATTCAGGGATCATTCTTCATATCATTCCCCTCAGACACTTTGCATACTCGGAACAAAAGCGTTGAATACTCGTTATTTTTATCAGCCACTAGAGCACAGTGACAATGGTAAAACTACGTACAAAAGGCGCAAGTATGTAGGAGAAGATTAACAAAAAACTACAACGGAACAAATACACAAATATGCATTCAAAGAAACAGACAAATGATTACATTAAGCCGAGAACAAATCAAATACGAGATTAGAGAGACAAAAAAAGTGCAACAGAATACAGCAAAAGAATCTTACACCAAAAGAATAAATGGCGTATAATTGTCGAGAAGGGAAAAGAGCTATGAAAACTGGGAATTTGTGGCGGCAAGGGAACTGGGAAAAAGCATGTGCAGCTATGTAGAAAATCTACACCAGCGAACTATAAAAAGAAAGGAATATCCAATTATGAATGGGCAATACGGTTAAAGTACAAAACAAAATAAAGACGAAGTAGGCATTTATGGCACTTTTTGGAATTCTCAAAATAGCAGTCAAGATTCGTAATTTTTTTTTTTAGAGAAGCGGTTCAGTAAGAGGTTCCGTTACAGTTTTTTCTGGTCCACATAGTATGTTCAAGAAATCTCACACGGTACCTTGGCATGATATCAATAAGTTCAATGGCATCCAAAAACCTGCTTCCAGAAGAGAACTTATAAAGCAAATTGTATACCACTTTGTGAGGTCTTCATTGGAACATTGTTATGTACTCTGATGTAGACTGGCCTTCGCCACAGAAGCTGTAATAGACAAAATGAGCTCCGCAAAAATTTTAAAAGTGCTTCAAGAAACCAAGTCCTAACGTAAGTCTTAGCTGGTTAGTAAATTAGATGCAACAAAACAAGAGACACTTGTTTAGGCCTTCAGCCTAAATAGTTTTTCGTACTTTTGGTGAACCGCCCTAATGCTGGCATATGTACATATGTACATGTATATACACTCATACATGCTCGTGTATATTAACAACAGCTAAGCCGTTAACTAATGTATCCCGCCGGACCATGAACCTTCGTTAAGTTTCCCCTTCACGTCAGTTATTGTCCGGCGGTCCACACTTAGAAACCGCAAATTATATTTTTCACTTCGGTTTTAGCAGTTCAACGAGCACTCAGCAGCTACCAGGCCACTCCAGTCCAAAGGTATTTAAATAGTTTGTTATATCCACAGATATATATATATATTGAAATAAATTGACCCTGTATTGAATTAAAACTAAAATCACAATATCTTGGTTCTATTTATTTCTTTCTGCTATATTTACACCGGAGCGTAATTCCACCACGCCCCCGTGTAAACATTCGTTTTTGGAATGTCTTTCAGTAAATCTTCGCAATTGGCAGTCCATTTTCTTAATGGAAAACCGGCTGACTCTAACACTTGGGTTATTTCATCTCTGGCATTTATCGCAGAGTCAATGCTGTGTCCTCCCGCTAGAACGTCGTCGACGTACATGCATCTTCGTAAAATATTGGATGCTATCGGAGAGGAGTTTTCCACATCATCAGCTAGTTGTAAAAGTGTCCTTATTGCCAAGTAAGGAGCACAGTTAACCCCGAAAGTGACCGTCTTCAGCTCGTAAAGACTGATCGGTTCGTTCGTATCGGTACGAAAAACTATGCGCTGGAACTTAGTGTGATTGTCATGCACCATAATTTGCCGGTACATCTTCTCGATGTCGCTGTTGAAGGCGTATTTATATAATCTCCAACGTAGGATTAATATGGGAAGATCCGCCTGGAGTACGGGTCCTGGGAGCAGTACATCATTGAGGCTTACACCATTTGCCGTCGGACTTGAGGCATTAAAAACCACGCGAAGTTTTGTTGACGTGCTTTCTGCCTTGATGACCGCGTGATGAGGCAGGAAATAGTTGTCGGAGGACTCTGCTGGTATATTATTTATTAGCTTTGACATATGCCCTAACGATTCGTATTCCGATAATACCCTGTTATATTCCTTTTGTAGTCCAGGATCCTTGGCCAACCGCGTCTCGTGTCGGAAAAATTGTGAGCACGCTCTTTTTAGGGAGGGTCCTAGGCAGACATTCTCTGGAAAATCCTGCCTGAATGGTAGCGAAACTACATATTTCCCGTCTTGGGTACGTTGAGTTGTATTCTTGTACAACTCCTCACAGTACTTGTCTTCCTCACTTAGGCAGAAAAATCGGTTCCATTATAATGTATATTTACGCGCGCTGTTCCTAGGAGCACACCAGTATTTGAATTTGCAAAACAAGACTTGACATTTTTGTCCCCAGTTGAATTTGGTTTTCCTGTCTTGCGTCTTGTTTGTGCTTGCTTCGATGAAGATGCTCGATTACCAGTTGAGCTTGGCGGCATTTGGTTCGCGGTAGGCTTTTGCTGGTCAGTCTCAAGGTGCAGGAGCGTGTGGTGTCGGGAGTGGCACTTGCTGCAATTAAACGAGCATGTGCATCTTGACACAGTATGTCCAGACTTAAGACAGTTCAAGCAAGAGTTATTGTTTTTCATGAACTCTATTCTTTCAGATGGTGTCATCTTTAAGAAGCGGGAACAGCTGCGTAACTTGTGCTCATTGGACTGGCACATTATGCAAGTGAACTTGGTCACGCTTGCTTGGAAAACGCCAAGTCGTTTTGGGGAGGCTTCTGCTGGTTTGTGTGTGTGCTGCGGCTTTGGCGCTCTCACAGCTTTGGAATTTTTTAAGCCTGATAAAGTCTCCAGCGTTTGAAATCTGTTGGATAGGAACTTGTCCATATCCTCCCACTTTGGTATATCATTTTTGTGGTCTATGGTTTGTTCCCATAGAGCCAGCGTACTTTCTGGAAGTTTGGTGGATCAGAGGTAGACTATAATTGCATCCCAGTTTGAAACGTTAATTTGGTGACTGTTTAGGGACGATAAGCAATTATTTATATCCCGCTGCAACCTTTTTATTGAGCTACCACACTCATTATCCACTGAATTTAAATTGAAAAGTATTTTCAGTTGTGTATTTACGAGGATACGCTTGTTTTCATATCTCTCGCATAAACTTTTCCAGGCTGTTTGGAAGCCTTCGTTTGTGAGTGGACACTTTCTCACGATGTCTTTGGCTTCCCCTTGAGTCTTTTGGTTGAGATGAAATAGTTTCTCAACCGGAGTGAGGCGCTTGTTAAGGATGTATATGGCTGTGAACATATCACGAAATGGTGGCCATGACAGATAGTCACCCTTGAACACATCGGTATCACACGGAGGTAGGTGGATATTGTGTTCACGTACCGACTGATCCTGTACATCCTTTTCTGCGTTAACAAGCGTTTCGGACTGACTCGCCATGGCAGACATGCATTTAACATAGCTAGCGAACGAGCTTTTATGTTTTCTCCTTATGGCCTTAATGTCTTCTTTCGACAACCCTTCTTTGTTTATTATAGTATCATACCCTTGTTTAGTTTTTTCCCACATATCTTTCAGTTCGTCTTGCTGTATTGCAAGACCATGTTTATTTTGCTCTGCAGGTGGCGTGCTGCTAAAATCGGATCCAAATTCGATTATTGCCTCTGCCAAACGAATGAACGACTCCATGTTTAAAAATGGTACTTGAATTAAAATCAATCACAGATAAATTCGACGATGTGCTTTAATATGTGATATCAACCTTACTCTTAAACAAAAATAAATGCTTAGATTATCGAATTTGTTCGCCAAGTATTCAATAAACGAAAGTTTCTGCCGCTGAAAAAGATACCAACTCTTGTGGTCGAATCTGCTAACCGAAGATTTTCTTGAATTCGAAGAAACTAGCGCAGTGAAGGCTCTCGGCATAAGATGGAACGCCCATACGGATTTATTCTATTTTATGGCGAGACCATTAGAAGAAAGCGATAATCCAACGAAAAGGGCGATATTATCAGCTATCGCCAAACTTTTCGACCCCCTGGGGTGGCTCGCGCCCATCATAATCGTAGCCAAAGTACTAATGCAGGGTATTTGGCTGGAAGGCACGGACTGGGATGAAACCGTAACTCCAACTACCCTGGATCGCTGGAAAAATTTTACACAGCATTACCATGAGATCGATAACATACGAATACCTCGATGGGTACATTTCTCACCAACAGATGACGTCGAAGTACATGGCTTCTGTGACGCATCGGAAAAAGCGTATGCGGCTGCTGTATATCTGCGCGTTACACAAAATGCAAAAGTTTTCGTAAGTCTACTTTTGGCAAAAACAAAAGTAGCCCCAGTAAAGACTATCTCATTACCTCGATTGGAACTTTGCGGCGCCGTACTGCTTGCAGAAATCATCGAGACGGTACTGAGAAATCTTGACTTGGGACATTTAAAAGCACACCTGTGGACGGACTCAACAATCGTTCTCGCGTGGATACGAAAGCCGCCTTGTTCGTGGTGGACCTTTGTCGCCCACAGGATAACAAAAATAGTAGAAAAAGTTGGTAATAAGAACTGTCTGCATGTGGATTTGGCATCAAATCCAGCAGATTTAGCCAGCCGAGGACTGCCTGCTTACGAATTGGTTGACAATCCCTTGTGGTGGCAGGGACCTTCTTGGTTACAAGAAGACCAAAGTAAATGGCCTGTACAAGAGGCAAACTACAACACAATAGTCGAGGAAAAGAGGGTGCATGTGCACGCAGCAACTAAAATAGATAATGCAACTAATATTTTAGATAGATTTTCAGGATTGCCTAGGGCTTTGAGAGTTTTATCATATATTATAAGATTTTTTCAAAGAACCCATCCAAAAACAAGAGCTTCGTTTCGAGCCGAGACTTCTTTAATTTCCGCTGATGAAATTAAAACAACGACTCAACGCTTGATAAAAATCTGTCAAAAGCAACATTACTTTGAAGAGTATAGTAAATTGAAATCCGGGGAATCCATCGATGCGAAGAGTGAAGTTTTGCCCCTTAATCCATTTCTCGATAGATATGATATCATGAGGATGGGTGGTCGCCTCGGCGCGTCTCAAGATCTGGCCTATAATGAGCGCCATCCAATTATCCTTCCATACGATTGTAGATTTTCTCGCCTTCTTGTCCAGTTTGTCCATGAGATTTCTTTGCATGGGGAAAACCAACTAATGTTACGTCTCATTAGGACGCAATATTGGATTCCCCGAGTCAAAAACATGATCAGGTCCGTCATCCACAACTGCAAAGTCTGCACTATCCATAAGAAACGGTCACAAACCCAACTTATGGGTAACCTACCGAAAGAACGCACAACATTCTCGCGTGCGTTTACAAACACAGGTGTCGATTTTACCGGGCCCTTTGAGATTAAGAGCTATCGCGGCCGCGGTTGCCGCATTTCCAAAGGCTACGTTTGCCTTTTCGTTTGTTTTACGACTAAGGCAATTCACTTGGAAGCGACAAGCGATCTCAGCACCCCATCCTTTCTGGCAGCATTCGCTAGGTTTGTTGGTAGAAGAGGATGTCCGAAAAACATGTACTCCGACAACGGCACCAATTTTGTCGGAGCTTCTCGATCATTACGATCTGAAATGAAGGCGTTCATAGCAGAAGCGCGTGATAAAACCATATCGAAATATAGTCATCAAAAACCACTTCAAAAAGATTGCATCCACCCACAAATACACCTTTGAGGAGCTCAGCTCAGTACCTTATTATGCCAAGTTGAGTCTTGTCTCAACTCGCGACCGTTAAGTCCCTCATCGAACGAGCCAACTGACTTGGAGCCTCTAACTCCCGGTCATTTCCTCATAGGCGGTCATTTACTCGCGCCACCGGAATTAGATGTAAATGAAAACCCAGCCTCCATAATAAATAGGTGGCAGAAATTAAAGGCTTTACATCAAACCTTTTGCAGGCGATGGAAGTCAGAATACCTATCCGAACTACAGAAGCGAATTAAGTGGAAAAATCGAAAGCAGAATATGGAGATTGGTGATCTCGTCGTTATAAGAGAGGACAATTTAGCGCCTAACGAATGGAGATTAGGCAGAGTAATCAACCTGCACCCCGGTTCCGACAACCGAGTGCGTGTGGTGGACATCACCACCGAGAAGGGTCAGGTAACACGACCGCTGGCAAAACTTATCCTACTGCCACCGTACAACGAGAGAATTGAGAAGCCACCGAATGCTTGTTGATTCTACCCCTTATATGATTACCTAACCCTCTCAACGAGACACCAACTACATCAATATTCCACTCCGTCAGTACCCATACAAATTCCACTTCTATACCTCATGAGAGATTCCATTGAAAATGTGAAAAAGTGTCATTGTCGGGTTTAAAATTATCGGTGAAAAATTGACGCCAGTCATATGAAATTTATATGAAATTCATATGTAATAATTGCATTTGCGCTTTATTTTAGTTTTGAGAAACATTCAAATTAAAGTAAAAAGGTAACGAAATGCGCGCAATTACCATATAAATAAATTCACTAAATTCTCCTGGGAAAGCTCTCCGACGCGGCTATTTAGTTTTTTTCGCTATTGTGGCGACAATTTTGTCATAGTGACAATTGCCAGCCCATTGCCGACAATATTTCAATATATATACTGTCGAAAAAATTTTCACAACTGCCTACAAGCGTATTTGAAATATAAAAAAGGGGCAACAACAAAAACACAACACCACCCTATATCAACTCGCCTGGGTTTCTAACAACTTATTCAATAAATCATATGAAAATCTTTTCATCACTCACCTACACATAGCAGAGACCCTCGAAGTCTAATCATTAGATAAAAAATCTCGCAATTCAGAAGAATCGTAAGACAGCTCCTCGTTGCAACCCGTATATGTCAACTGCCGTTTCCATTTAGACAGAAGGTTCGGTTCCTAAATCGAGTTTACAGAAATTATTAACACATGGTATCACGTTAAATTTACCACTCACCTGCGGATTAAGGTGTGATGCTAAGTCCTCACCTGGGCAAAGGTACATAGGTATGTACTCCTGCAGTTTATCTTTGCGTGCGAAAGTACTTGGACAAAGACTACATTGGAATGGCTTTGAGTTTGTATGTGTACGAATGTGTCGCATCAGATCTGTCGCGCTTGAAACGGATCGTGGGCAACGCGTACAAACATGTGGTTTTACGCTGCTATGAATTCGTATGTGTTTTGTTAAATTGGTATTACGAGAAAAGCTTTTTGCGCAAACAGGACATGAGAACGGGCGCACACCAGTGTGTACAATGGTGCCTTTTTGCAGAATGCACATACATATGGCCGCTCAGGATCATGTAGTTCCTTGATATGGTATATTAAATTCTGGCGACTTGATGTGCGTTGTGAACAAAAGCTGCAGACATAAGGTGCGGCACTGTCGTGTTGTGATTCATGCTCTTGGCATTCTGGTTGCGTTGTAAATGCCATATCACAATACTGGCAAAGGAAGGTGTTTTTAATCACAATTGCTCCGGCAATAAATGAGTCGCTACCAAGCATGTTGGGAAAAGCAGTTGGTGCTTCGGGCGCAGGCATAGAGTTGTCGGTGTTTTGCTGTTGCTCTGTGGTCATAGGAACTGTTGCCGATAGCGAATCGTTTGGTTCATTTGTCGGTTGCTGCGATAATTGATGCGTGTCATTGATGATGAAGCCGAATGCTCTTCGCCCTCCGAATCCGGTTCCATAGAAAAATCATCCTCTGAACTTTCGTAATCTTGATTGGGGTTCACTTCAGTTATTATGCAATTATCTTCAGGCTCAAATGTGCCTGGGTTGCCATTAAGACCCGGACGTTGATCCACGCAATCTGCCGTTCTTCTATTTTGGCGTTCCACCCAACTCTGCAACTCAGTCTCAATTCTTTGCACATTTTCGCGAAAAGCGGAAAACGCCTCAACCATTGCAAAACAGCGCTGGCAGATGTTACTAGGCAACAACGTTGATTGCTGAAACTTAACACCTAACAAGTCATACAGCCGTTCCACCATTGGCATTCTTTTCTCTGCTCCAACGGTTGGTGGCGTTTTTTGTGCTGACTGTGGAGGCTCCTGCTCAAAGATATTCACAATTGATTTGTCATGACGCAAACATAGGCGACATAGTCCAGTGCCGTCATCCATTGCTGAAGATTTTTTTTTAACATGTTGCATTTCCGCTATGGGGAATAAGAAGTCTTCTTATTTATTTGAATTGTTTCTTTCTTACACTTGCGCAAGTCATAATTATGAGTTCACAAAATCTAACTATAGCATTAACATGCATATCTTACAGTTTCTAAAAATAAAATAAAATACAATTTATTAGCGTACCATGTATGTAGAGTATGTATGTATGTACTATGTAAATGCTTTATAAATAACTTAAAGATCCTGGTCCGTGAGCCTCTGCACCACGCATCAGCCGCTCCTAGGAAACCGTATTAAGTGGTGGAAAAGGATTCTGCTTGGACACCACCAACTTGTTGTGACTGTATGAGATGTAGCCCTTGATTTTACCCTCAAAAATCAAATTAGCCACTATGCAATGCGTTTCATCGATGCTCACATCTGTTTCGCCGACAAATTGCAATGCCGCTTGAAATGCCCGCAAATCTAATTGATGCGTCTGTTTGATTATGTACACACGCTTGAAGAGATTGCGATAGACAATGAATTTCAATTTTTCAACCAACAAATAAATGCCGCATTTGATGAAGAATATCTCATGACGTTGTATAACTTCGTCGAATTTGCGAACATTGCCCTCTTTTAGAGCGACAGCAAGTTCATGAAACTGTAGTAGGTCAAAACGTTCGAGGTTGTCCTTCTTGGGCAAGTAGCCAAGTAGCATCTTCACCGGCACCAAGTAGATTAGTATGACCCGCTTGTTGCGTGGGAAATTGCGTGGACAGTTGCGCAGCGCAAATGAAAGAAATTCATCGGCACTTTTATAGTCTGAATCGAACATGGCCTTACGGCCTACAAAATATTTATATGTTATCTGATCTGGCAATGGGAAGGAGTCTTTGAAGGTGCTGCTGTCGATGGCGCGTATCAATGGCTTACACAAATGCAATTTGTTGATGCGGAAGTAGACTTTGAATAGCTGATTAACAAGGTTGAGCATGCCAAGGCGTTTAGTGTCGTCATCCGAAGATCTATTATCTGCGGCACATACACGGAAACAGCTCATTAAGCAGTCTGCGGCCTTCTCAAGAATTTCCCCCGGCTTGCTGCTGCTGCCAAGTTCTTCGCATTTTTGCGCTAATATTCGCAAATCCAAGCAGGTTGTGTACATTATGGGAAGACACCAGTTCTCCTCCTTCAACTGTTGCAACATTTTCACAACAGATTGTATGCATTGTGATTGTTGGCGATAAGCTTGCATAAAATCGCGAGTTTCCAAGCCCAAGTAATAGAGTACTTTCGGATGCGCACAAACAATCTCATCAATGGGCGGATCCAGCATACGTTCCACGGCATTCTCTGGACACTCCACATATAAATTACGATTCATTATATGCTTGTCTTTGAGTGAAATAAAAGATGCCATCGTCTCACCATCCGCCACAGACCAGGCGCGCTGCACGCCGCTCAAGTAATTTTGCAAAATTTGGCTGCAAATTTTATTAAGAATTTGACATTTTGCAATTGAAATGATAAGAAATAAAAGACATACTCACCCATTTACTGGTTTACTCCATGATACAAAAAACAAGGTAGTTCCATTGTCACTTCTTCGTCGCCATATTAACAACCTGACAATTAAGCAGATTGTGACATTTCGTGCTACCATACCCAATATCTAAAATCCTTCAAATTTTCTTATTAATTTTTTGTCGATTTAAAAATATTTTGTTCTTACATGTACATTTTAAATTGTGTGAAAGCTGACAGTTTATAGAATTCAATAGCGACGAAAACAAAGGGGGGTTAAGTGGTTAAACCTTACCTAAGCCGATCATAAAACTTGCGACGCAATTTCAGCATATGCCTATGGGTCTTGGCGAGAATGTAATCCCTGAAGGTTTAGCTTAAAATGGTTCTCGGGATACACCCTGTGATCATGTTACTTTCCAGAAGGTGTCGCGCCACAAGAATTTTAGTTTATTTGGCTTATACCGCTAGCTTTCAATGGCTTCGAGATCGTTTTCATATACCCTCATTTTTCATACCTCATACCTCTTTTTACCTCTATTCCAAGTTCTACGGTGGCACGCCGCATTTTCCAATAAATCCATACATATATCCATACAAAGTTCCGGGACTCTACCACAAATAATTCCAGAGATATGCACTATGAAAAATTCGATTTGTATGGGAGGTTCCACACGCCCTTTAGATATCGGGCTTGTTTTAGCCTATAACCATTCTTGGAAAATTTGTGTCCGAAATTTCCAAAAAATCGGTACAGCCGGTATGAGCATTGCGACTCCTCAAGCGAAATGAACTAATGATTGCAAAAAATGAAATCAAACATCATAGTTGACCCAAAAAGAATATTAGACTTCATTCTCTCAACTTCTCAGAATGTAGAAAAGCTAAGAAATATATAATAAGATAGGATATATTAAAACAGCCTCCAAACATTTACTAAAGACGCTCTTGGACTACACAAATCAGCTTGATTGAAAATTTATTTGTATCTATTTATTTTATACTTCAATTTTGGGTGTGTTAAAATTTCATGTGAAAACAATATGTGTTGCTGGAAAAATTTTAGGCCCATGAGTCCTAAAGTAAATTCCATTTGCTGTCAAATGGACAAAGACAATATGTATTAAATAACACATCGAAATGTGTAATTTCAGTGTCTGAATTACATCAGAATCATCGTATCCGATATAGAAAACTACATTGTGAAATAATGAGATGACATGAGGACACTAAAAAAATTTTAAAATATGTTCACTAAAATTCTATCAATATTAAAATAATGATTTGGCAAGTTGGTATCGAATTTAATGTTAAATTTAAACGTTTTTAAGACAAGATATTGATTATTTTTAAAAGGTATATATGAATACAACTATTTTCTTTATAATCCCATATTTAGGATATAAAATCTCCCACACTAAAAAACTTACAATTCGGTAACGCCGCTTCGATTTTTTTACAATTGAGCAATTGTCAAAAATCTGCTTTTTAATCAAAAAGTTGTTTATTGAAACTACCTTCTTTTTTGTATCATGGGTTTACTCCATGTGGCCATCGATTGAATGATTTTTTTTTTCATTCAGGAAATCGTAATGTGAGCCGCGGAGTAGAAATGTCAACTTAAGTCTCCGCATAAAGCCGCTACTACATAACTTCCAGCGGCGCCATCTATTTCTCGTTTGTGGAGAAATAATTTTTTTTTTTTGCACATGCTTGTAATGAAATCATTCATAAAAATAAATTTCATTAATTGCCACTTGTAGACAGAAGTAACCACACTTAAATAAATGCCACCAGGTGCACGTAGTAGGTCGGTTAAATTATCGCACTTTGTCGTCAGCCATTAAGAAGGCTATCGTTGCAAATATTTTTTGTCTTCTTTTTGCCGTGTCGTATTCAGATACGTATGCACTAATTTTGCCTCTAGATACTCTACTTTCTTTTGCGCAAAACAAATTGGCTGGTACATAAGAATTTTACCAAAAATTTTATATTACGCTTGCAATTTTTTGGGATATGAGCTACCCTGTTTTTGGCAATGGTAACATACAGTGGCACCTCAACTTTTTTTTTTCGGCCCCCAGGCTGTTGGGTGTCGATCTTGGCTAAACAAAAGTCTCCAAAGTACAAAGAAAGTTTTGTTTTACATTGGCAGAATTTAAGCCATCAATTTGAAAAAAAAAAAATAACAAATCAGCTGAACAAAAACAAATTTCTTGCGAATGCCCTCAGTTTGACACTTTCTCATGTTGCCTTTGAAATTTGTTAGAATTGTCATAATGTCAGGGCGACATTTATTTTTTTGTCTTCCGGTACAACCCTGCATAGGAAAATATATAGCACCGGTGTGACCCATCAACCACAATACATGGGTAATTCTGCGTTTACACGTGCCAGTTTCCAATTTCGATATGCCCAAGAACGCCCTGCTTAGATCGTAAAAATTTAAGATTTGCAAAAGGAAAACGAAACTTTCTCGCCGATCCGTTTTACTTTTATATATTTAATCGCTCGCTACCCAACAACAACGTACAAAAAAAAAAAAAAATATAACTTAACTGAGGCACCTAAATAAAAAAAGCGTATTTCAGACAACCATGACCCGCTTCAGTGCAGTAAAGCGAAACGCCGCAAAGAATGCCCATCGCTTCGTCGTGCCGTGCCACTTATGTGACGCAAATCACCCAATTAGGGTATGCCCGGTTTTTCGCGCGAAAACACCTGAAGAAAGGTTAAGAGAAGCGCTACTTGGTCGATACTGTGGAAATTGTTTAGCCACAGATCACGCAACCGAACGATGTGCCAGCGAAGGACGATGCCGTCGATGCGGTGAGAAGCACCACACTACGCTTCACCTCGGTGAAGCTCGACGACCCGCAGACGAAGCACAAAAGCCTTGGAGCGTCCAAGTCGAAGAGGAAGAGCGCAATAGTTATGAGGCGGCGATCTCGCTATACGCGTCCGATTCTGGAACGGAGACCAGGCCTCTCCGTCCAGATATTGAAGAGGGCGAGATTATAGAGTTCGGAGTGGAGACTCGGCCTCTCCACCTGACTACTGCAAGGGTACCGGAAAAGGTCTTTCCGACCTTTACTCCAACACGAGCGCGATCATCAACGACCGCATAAGCGCCAACGACCGCACAAGCGACAGCGACCACACCAACGACAGCGAACGCATCAGCAACGCCACCGAGACTGCAGAGCGGAAACTCGGTCTTTCCGCCTGCAGCGATCTTCGCGCAACCCATCGCCATCCGCATATGAAGATAGACTGGCGACTAGGCCTCGCCAGCTATCACTACCAAGCGCGTTCCGTAATGGGTTATCGGCGAAAAACCCCATTGTAGGGCCAACCTTCCGCCCGATGGTAGCTATTCCTCCGACGGCCGTGGTCAAAATTGAGGCAGGAGGGCGCTTGCATTTAATCCGTGCGCTTATTGACGTCTGCGCTCCAACGACAATTGTATCTGCGGATCTGGCCCGCGAGCTACGGCTAAAGCAAACACGAGTCGGCGAGCAAACGGGCAGTCTCGTATGTCTCCGAGGGAAATACGGCCAAAATAAACGAGTTGCGACCCATGCCGTGGTTACGCCCCATTTCCACCGAGTAACGCCAAGTAGCAGTGTAGATCCGACGGTCGCCGCAACATACGCACATATCCGTTTAGCGGATCCCAAATTTTACGAGTCCGCGCCGATACGCCTGGTATTCGGCACCGACGTATACGCCGATATTCTGCTACCCGGCATTCTTCCGAATACCTTCGGGCCTCTGCTGGCTCAGAGCACCATCTTTGGATGGGTGCTTTCCGGAGTCTGCAGAGCATAGTTTTTTTTTCAAATGAAATTTTATTATAGCCATAATTTTGTTTAAATGGATTTTATTTCTATTGAGAAAAAAAAAACAATGAATTTTTATATAAATATAAAATAAGTCGTGAATAAAGTGCATTTGAATAGTAACCACGTCTATTTCTTTAATTCCCTTTTTCAATTTCTGTAGTAGCTACAAAGAAAGAAGGACGAACTTGTTGGACGCCGAAGCTGCTGCTGGAATGCAAATGAATATTTCTAGATTAAAATTTTTTCTATTCTCCCAACCGAACAAGTGGGCCTGATAGCTGAGACGCGGTCAAGTTTGTAGAAGTTGCTTATCGCAAGGGGGGCCGGCATGTTTAGGCCTTCAGCCTAAATAGTTTTTCGTACTTTTGGTGAACCGCCCTAATGCTGGCATATGTACATATGTACATGTATATACACTCATACATGCTCGTGTATATTAACAACAGCTAAGCCGTTAACTAATGTATCCCGCCGGAC